CTTCAAGTTAATTCTGGCTTGCCTCTTATTTTGTACTACCTCTGGTTCTATTTATAAGACTTTGTTTATAGTTTACAAATGAGGTTTATAATTAGAACAGGAGGTAGCAGTACATATATGATATCTTACTTCTTTTTTCCTCTTTTATTCAGCCAATGGATATTCTATCCTACTTCTACTCATATGAAAAACCTTGAACTCTGGGTCTTTTTAATAACTTAAGTTTAAAGTTAATTAACTTAAGTTTAGAGTTAATATAATCTCTCAAATGACTAGTCACCATATCATCATTAAAAAGCCTGCATTTATATAAGTTAAAACATCTAAAACCAAGTTAAGCAAATAAGAGCTAAGATATGATTCATGATTGCCCAAAGCAATTGTACTCTTAACTCCATACATGATCATGCAAAAGGTCCTGATATTTTAGGGGAGAGACCCAACGAGCAATCTTGCAAAACTGTTTCCAGGAGTTAAGCGATGAGAATATATAACCCATGGACTCACCAAGTCTGCACCATCAGAGTTGTAATAAATTAACTTTATGATTCCGTTAGTATTGAGACTTTTTGATATTCCATTCCTTTTATTTTTATAATTCTAAATTGATTCCTTAATTTAATACTCCTCCGATCCTTAATATAAGACCCATTTAACTAATTTGATTAGATTAAAGAAGTTAGGTAAGTTAGTTAATTATAAGAAATATGACACGTCTTTTATAAAACAGCATAATTATCTTTCTTAATACCCCATCCCCCTCTTCTATTTGATTATAGTTGAGGGAGTATCTATAGGAGTAATTTAGATAAAATTGATAAATATGATAAATGGGTCTTATATTTAAGACCAAAACCAACATAATAATTAAGTCCTATATTAAGGACCGGATGAGTAGTATGTAATAAAGATAGTGTATAACTACTCTAGTTATATAACAGAGCACCTGATTAACGAGGATCCACTTGTGGGGTGACCGGGCTACTACCTATTAGCTAGTTGACTTCAATATATTATTTGCCATTTTCATGGTTACCCAGATCAGTCAGCAGCGGAAACACTGAGGAAAGCAATAAAAAGTAAAGCAGATTCCCAGAAAATAACAATTGGTTTGACTGAAGAGAGTCAACAAAGCAACATCGAACGTTCTTCAAAAGTTTAATTAGTTTCAATGAAAATATTATTAAGAAACTTGATCAACACGGTTTTAACTTATACATCAAGAAAAAAATGCACACGCACACATATATATAAAAGATAGTTGACGAATCCCAAGTCGCAGATAAATCGATCTGAATCAGCAGTAATGGAGAGCTTTTTAATTGATAGTTGGCTCTGGCTCTGTTTGGGTCAGCGTTTGCTGACCCAAAAGCAGCTTATATTATAATTTATGCTGACCCAAAAGCAGCTTATATTATAATTTAAGCTGGGTTGATCATACAGGTTTGTTTGGGAGAGTTTAAAACCTATTGAGTTTATTTATTTTTCAGCCTCCTAAACGCTCAATGGAAATAAGCTCCACACAGGAGCTTATTTGAGAAGAGCTTTTACCAAATGTGCGTGTCAGGAGCTTACCAAATGTGCGTGTCAGGTCCTTTCTTTTTCACCTGCAAGTCCTCCTTTCTTTTCCCAGACTCAAGTCCCACGCGCAAGTCCCACCAGCTTTCCTTTTTTTTTTTTATCATGTTTTATTTTATACTCAAAATATTTTTTATGGTTTCTCTCAATTTTAATTCAGTCATTAAATTTTACTTCTTTATTATATTATCTCAATTCTTTTTTTATGTTTCAATTTATATTTAAAATATTTTTTATGATTTCTTTAAAATTTTAAAATTTAATTCACTCATTAAATTTGATTTCTTTATATTAAATTATTTTAATTTCATTATATTATATGAAATCAATTTTTTTTATGTTTCATTATTTATTAAAACTCATACCCATTTTGGGAATTTTTCAGCCAAACTTATTTTTACTTAACTATAATCCAAACAAACTTTTACCAATCTGACTTTTGCAAACTAACTTTTCTGAACTCCAATCCAAACACAATTCAGCATATCCAATTTAACTTTTACCAACTTCACTTTTTCATAAGCTACTTTTCTTATAAACTGCTTCTCCAATCGCTAATCCAAACGGGTACAGTATTTCACAAAGTCCTGGGCTAAATGTGCTACAAGGTGGAGAAGAAAAGCTTGTCTTTGTCGGCCATGTTTTATGGGTTATTTTCTGTTAGGCCCTCAGTGGGTGGAAACGATGAGCAGACGAGCAAAGGCGGAGCAGCGCCTGGTAGTGCGGCGGAGGCCACCATGGTCGCCGCCATGAAGCATTTCTCTTCAACTACACGCAAAGTAAGGTTCGGGTAATTCAAGAAGACAAACCAAACCGTGGTTTGGAAAAGTGATTCTGGAGAATAGATTCTGGGAAAAATAAATTCTGGAAAGAATAGATTTTATAAAAAAGTGATTTTGAGAAGTGAGAGTGTTTGGATAGTTTTTATCAGAAGCACTTTTTATATATACAAATTACTAAAAAAAAGACCTAAATTAATATGATAATTACAGAAAAAATAGATTTTATGATATATTTTAATTTGAAGGAATGAAATTGTTAATAATAAATTTTTTATTAACATAATTAATAATACATAATATAATATAATTAATAAATAATTAATATGTATATATTTATAAAATATAAGATTAAATATGCTTATAAAAAAATATGTTTATAAAAAAATAACAAGATACATATCCTATAGGCTCACACACTCTCCATTTTTTCTCCAAAAACAAAATTTTTTTGCTTTTTCCAAAACCATAGTTTTGGAGCCAAAACCATGGTTTTGGTTTTTGAGTGGGTGTTTGGGTGATTTATTCCCCAAATCATGGTTTGGGGTGTCACCCAAACACAGCCATAGAATTACAAGACAGCTGTAGGTTTGGCCTGGCCTGATGAGACCGCCATAGTTAATTGCTGCAATCATAGACCGCCTGATGAGGTAGACCGTGAGCCTTGTAAAATAGTTGGACTTATAGATTTCCAGATGAGATAAGATAATTAATAATACATAATATAATATAATTAAATAATTAATATGTATATATATTTATAAAATATAAGATTAAATATGCTTATAAAAAAATATGTTTATAAAAAAATAACAAGATACATATTCTATAGGCTCTCACACTCTCCATTTTTTCTCCAAAAGCAAAAAATTTTTGCTTTTTCCAAAACCATAGTTTTGAAGCCAAAACCATGGTTTTGGTTTTTGAGTGGGTGTTTGGGTGATTTATTCCCCAAATCATAGTTTGGGTCTCCAAACCATGGTTTGGGGTGTCACCCAAACACAGCCGTAAAGTTACAAGACAGCTGTAGGTTTGGCCTGGCCTGATGAGACCGCCATAGTTAATTGCTGCAATCATAGACCGCCTGATGAGGTAGACCGTGAGCCTTGTAAAATAGTTGGACTTACAGATTTCCAGATGAGATAAGATAGAGTTTTTGTTCTCTCGTATCCTGGGCTTCGTTTAACAGTATTAGTTATTTGTAAAAAAAAATTGCGCGTACATGAGTTTTTTTTAAAAAATGTGTTTTTTAATTATTTACATTGAATGCTACTCATTTAATTTAAAAACCCCTTAATATAATAGTCTCTTTTTCATTAGTTGAATTCTATAATATTCAAGCAACTAATTAAATCATGAAATTATACACATATTTAAAATACTAAAAATAATCATTTATCCGCACACCAATTGAGAAATTTAAAAACACAGAATGAAAAAAAAAAATACTGATAACATTATTTTCTAATCCCTGAACATAATAAAAAAATGACAAAAAATTAAAGAGATTGAGAAAAGAGATTAATTCAGCCCCAGTACTTTAAAACTTACTAGCTCCGATCCTTAATATAAAAACTAGTTGACTAATTTGAGGAGATTAAGTAAATTAGTTGAGTTAGTTATTTGTTATAAATAGGTGTTATCTTTCTTAGAATACCTTTGTTAATCAATAATCATGTATATTAGTTAGAATTATCATTTGATGAAACCTTTAACAAGTGTAACTATTATAAAGATTATTTTCAAAAATAAATATAAAAGACAGAGTTGATTGAAATTTTATATTTAGAACCAAATTAAAAATCAAATAAGCTCTTATGATAAGGAACAGAAGTGGCATTACCCTAATAGCGGAGAATTGCTGGTAAATTTTATTCTTATTATGAATTAATAAAAATATTATGATTTTTTTAGCTGAAAAAAATATTATGAATTTAATCAGATAAATTTCAAAAGCATGTCATTGTTTTTGTCCTTTATCCAAAAGTATAAAAGAGCAGACGGCTTCTAGAGAATTCTCAACAGCCTTCATACGCTGCCGTTTTGTGCATCACGTCCAGACTCATCCACAGTAACCTTAACGGTAACGACCGGGTTTTTCTAATCCTGCCATCGTCTTCCTCCCCATGAACATCCAAGGGCCGTACCTATCATCTGCCGGCGGCGAGCTCAGAATATCGGACGGCATTGACGCCTGGTACACTTGTCCTTCACTTGTTTTATTTCTTTTATCTGTCTGTTGAGCCTGCTTCATGGAATCCATGTTCGCTTGTGTTGTTCTCTTCACTTATTTTATTTCTTTTATCTGTCTGTTGAGCCTGCTTCATGGAATCCATGTTCGCTTGTGTTGTTCTCTGATTTTTTTGTTGCGTGTTCGTGGATACCAGAAGAATGTACTTGTTGGTTTTGAGATTGTTATTGGTTCGGATTCTTATGGAAGCTCTCTGTTTTGTCTAAATTAACCGCAGAAAAAGAAAATCGGATTAAGCCCCTCATATACAGAATCCAAGAATTCATCTGGCACTTATTCCTCCATCAACTTCAACGCAGATTCTAGCATAGCTACCTCGATTTTAGTATCAATCTCTCTAACGTAAGTAAGACTATGGAGGTCAACCATAATTGTCTCCGCAACTAAATCCGTGCTTTCTCTGGGCACTCCTTATTATAACAATGCATTGTTAGATTATGAATTGTTATCCATATTGCCATTTTTCCCGGTTTGTTGGTTAAAGGATTGAACTCAGGAGGCCAACGTTGAATGGCTAATGTGATGCTGCAAGATGTCCCAGGGCCCTTCATTTTATGAGCTTGGGAACCTCGCGACATACTAATTGTTTTCAAGGTCTGTTAACACAAAGTCAGGACCATTCCCCATAGAGGAGAGCCAACCTTTAAGTAACGATAGTTTAATTTGATTCCTAAGATGGTATAGTAAATACAATAGATTCCCTCCCTGTCTTACAACAACTTTTACAATCTTCATGTGATATTTTAAGAGAAGGATAAAGAGCTTCATCAGTTTCCTAGTTTCCTCTTTGATTGCCACTTATGATTGTTGTTACTTTTGTCGGATGACTCTGTATTTCACTCTTTTACTTGACTCCTGTTAATGACTGAAAGTTGATCACTATAAGAATTATGTTGATATTTCTCTGCATCATCTTGCTTCTTAGGAGAAGCAGGAGCAAACAAATTCTTCCTGTTTCTCCTCAGAAACGAGAGTTTCTTCTACAACTTCATCATTCTCACATATGTATTTGAACCATCCGCTTCATATTTGAGCCAATTATATTGTCTCCTTTTGTAAGAACCTGATCTTTCTGTTTCATATCTCAAAGTTTCGTCCATTAATCCTCTGGTATTCTTTTATCAAACATGTTCATAGATATCTTAGGTGAATCTCATAACCAACTCATAGAAAGTGCTAATGCTCGTCATAGTTACAAACTACTCCTCCGGTCCTAAATGTAAGACCCTTATACATACTAGTATAAGGGTCTTACATTTAGGACCGGAGGAGTACTTCTATAATTTGTCTTTTCTATCGATGATGATCCATATTTGTTTCGGTCATCGTTTATCTGATTTGGTCTTTATTCACAACAACTATTAATTTTCTGAAAACCATTTTATGCAGATTACCAATGGGAAAGAATGAGTTTCTTACACCAAAGGCTATTGCTAATCGAATCAAAGCAAAAGGGTTGCAAAAGCTTCGATGGTACTGTCAGATGTGTCAGAAACAATGCCGAGATGAGAATGGGTTCAAGTGTCATTGCATGAGTGAAAGTCACCAGCGCCAAATGCAAATCTTTGGACAAAATCCAAATAGGATCATTGAGGGCTACTCTGAAGAGTTTGAGAAGTCTTTTCTAGAACACATGAGGCGGAGCCACCGGTTCAGCCGGATAGCAGCTACAGTAGTTTACAATGAATACATTAGTGATAGACATCATGTTCATATGAATTCCACTAAATGGCTTACGCTAACTGAATTTGTCAAGTATTTGGGTCGGACTGGCAAGTGTAAGGTTGAAGAAACACCCAAAGGTTGGTTTATAACATACATTGATAGAGATTCTGAGACACTTTTCAAAGAGAGGATGAAGAACAAGAGGTTAAAGTCTGACATGGCTGAAGAAGAGAAGCAAGAGAAGGAGATACAGAGACAAATAGAAAAAGCAGAGCAGTTGATGAAGCAGCCATCTACCATTGGATCCGATCAACCTTCACAGGCTGAGCTTCCAAGAGAATTAAAAGTGGAAAATGGGGCTAAGGTTGGGTTTTCTCTTGGTTCATCAGCAAAACTTTCAACCGAGGAAAAACCAGAGGGACCAAATATAGTGTTCGACGAAGTTGAGGATGCCAAGAAGGAAGCAAGGAACCCCGTTGGCTCTTTGAAGAGTAAAGAGAGTGGTGGTGGGAAATCGACATTGGATGAACTGATGCGAGAAGAAGAGAAGAAGAAGGAGAAGATTAATAGAAAGGATTACTGGTTGTATCAGGGAATTGTTGTTAAGGTCATGAGCAAAGCTTTGGCTGATAAAGGGTATTACAAGCAAAAAGGTGTTGTATTAAAAGTGATCGACAAGTATGTTGGGGAAATAGAGATGGTTGAAAGCAAACATGTGCTCAGAGTTGATCAGGCTGAGCTTGAAACTGTGATTCCTCAAATTGGTTGTCTTGTCAAGATAGTAAATGGAGCTTATAGAGGATCCATAGCAAGATTATTAGGGGTTGATACCGATCACTTTTGTGCCAAGGTGCAGATAGAGAAAGGTCCTTACGATGGGAGAGTCCTCAAGGCAGTGGAGTACGAAGATATTTGCAAATTGGCCCAGTGAGTTTAACAGCAAAGGATAAGTATGTGTGTCATCTTGTAATGAAATATGTACTTTGCATGAACATTTTTGGTAATTTTTTCACTCTGACGAGTATATCATTGCCCTATTCATTTCTTACTTTGTTGATCTTAACAAGATTTGAAAACTGCTTTCTTGATTCTTCTCAATTAAGTGATAAGTGACAACTGAAGAATGCTTTGCGAGACAGAAAACGAAGAAAAGAAAACAGTCCATTTCGACATGCAATATTCTACGCTACATTTACTCTCTTCTCGAAAAAAAAAGTTTTAAAAGCTGTTTCAGACTCGGCACATTCTTGCAGAGGAAAACTGATCGCAACCATAGTAGTGATGAGAGTAACGTAAATAAGGTTGGGGTTAATATGTAAATTTATTTTAAAAGTTTGTTAAAATAATGACGTTGATTATTAGTATTTTAACAATAAATGGGTAATGTTATTACGATTTTAAGCTTTCAGGATAAATTTACACCTTAATCTACATGGTTAAGACAGCTATTTATTAAAACTCCAGATTTTGCATATTTTAATTGACATTTGACATCATAGAGCAACTCTTCATATTATTCCGAGGTGACCTCATGTAACTCGTAAATTTTTCTTACATTAATATGTCAAGAAAAACAACATTCATCTGTAGATGCATAGCTGTCATATTCAATTATTTGTAAATAACAAATACTACGGTCTTAAATATAAGACTTGTTTTATAATGTAAATTTTATACTACAAAATGAGTCTTACATTTAGGTTTAGAATTGGAAGTATCACACTGATTGAACTAGACTGTACAATGATTCCATATAACTTCCAAATGTGCTCATGACTGGTTGAATCTTGAGACCTATTTTGGCTTCGGCTTTAACTGGTCCCAGGACCATCTTCCCTAAACTAAGGATTCCCTTCGTGGATTAGCCCAAGTTTACTTTGTGAGGCAGAGAGAAATGCTTCATGGCGGCGACCATGGTGGTTTCTGTCGCAACAACCGGTGCTGCTACAGTCTTACTCGTCTTTGGGGTTCCACAGAGGAAACTGACTCCAAATAATCTATGAATCATTGACCAAAATGACAAGCTTTTCTTCTTCTTCGCCTTATAACCCATCGATCTTACGTTATGGATTCTGTGAAATTGCAGAACTTGATAAAGCTCTTAACTAAACTCTCAGCTTCTTGTTCAGATTGAGTTCTCTGCTGATTTTGGTTCAAGAGCTATCCTTTATTTATAGATCAAGTTCTGATATATTTCTTGCTGAAAAAGTAAACTAAAACCGTGGTCATAAAGTTTCATGTCGTTCAAAGTAATAAAGCTTCCGAAAAATATTGCTTTTGACTCTTTTCAGTCAAAGTAATTGAATTGAATTTCTGGGAATCTGCTTACATTTTGGTTCCTCCATGTTCCCATGTGGTGGGTGTGGCGAAACTGCCATTGAAATGACAAATAGAAGGGGACGTCTCTGTGAGGCTAATCTAATATTGAAAGCATGACTAGCCGGCCAATAAGGGTTAGCCACATTAATACCTGTCAAACTCAGATAGTCCGCTCACATCCACGACGTTATGGAGGATAGTTACGTTCCAAAGAAAAAAATACAAAATAAGCCTAAAAAATTATCATTTTTTATTATAAAAATTTGTCATTATATATTACTTAAGTTATTATTAAGACTTTTTAATAATTATTTTTTAAAAAAAATTCATTATAATTCTCCCATGTTATTAATCCAAGGCTCATGTTCAAATGAGGTGATATTCACCGGAATTGGAAAAAAAAATTTAATTTTATTAATTTTGTCTTAAAATTTAATAACTTTTTAATTTTATCTGCATTTAATATATGCTTTATATTTTAAGGTCTTATTTTCATCAATAATAAATTTATAACACTGCTTTTTCGCTTTGTTTTTGGGTGAAATAAACTGCTTTTTCGCTGTACGAATAGAAACAGAAGAGTACGTGGATTTGTTTTTGTGTGAGCAAGTTGCATATCTTCCAATAATCCTAAACGAGTCAGTAAGCATTGAAAATATGGAGGTTTATGAGGAACAATGGAAGCCTAAACCTTAGTTTCATTATAAAGCGTCGTTCATCAAGCGGAGTAATTAAATTTAAAAATTATATTGGAGGTCCTTAATAGTAATAATTGACTTCCTAAATTAGTCCCTAATTAAAATTCTCCCTAAATTTGTTTTGGAGACTGATTATTAAACATGGCCTACCCAAGTTTGCCCCTTCTTCTTCCTCATATGTTTTCTTGTTCAAGTTTTAATTGGCTATAGAAATAATTTAGAATAAAATAATAAAACATAATTGACCACCTTTTTCATTCAATGGAAGGATTAATTTCCTAAAAAATTGTATGCTCAATGCTACAACAGCACTTTCTACATCAGTCGGAAAAGAAATTTTATGTTGATTTTTGGATAAACATTAAAAAAAATGATGTCATAGTAAATAAGCTTATTCAGGTTGTAGTAAATCGTTAAGAAAAAAGTTGTGCCCAAAAAATGGCAAAGGAATTTTGAAGTGGTAATTGTTGAATAATGACACATATATACACACAATAATTGAAATGAGTGGCTTCTTGCCAACCCCATATTCGATTTTATTAGCTCATAATGTGGATAAGACTGGAAGATGGTTCCTCTCTAATCATGTGTAATTATCTTATGAGGAAAGAAATCCTCAATTTTTTTACCCAAAAAAAAGAAAAAAACTTCCTCCTCCGATTATTAATATAAGACTTAGTTAATTAATTTGAAGAGATTAAAAATGCTAAATAAATTACTTAATTATATAATGTGTTACATGATTTTTTTAAAATACTTTCGTGTATTATTATATTCATTTTATGAGTTAAACAAATTAGTTAAGAAAAAAAATAAATATATAAACAACAAGTTGTAGTGCTTATTTTTTAAATTTTGTGGAGTTTTGAAAATGTTACATATGCATCTGTTACAGAAGTATGAAGACCAAGACGTAGCATTTTGAAAAGCGCTATAATATATGTATTTTTAAAAAAAAATTCATAATATTCTTTTTTTGGTAAACTGCTACAGAAAAATGGACATTCTATACATATTTATATTTTTTTTAAAAATGTTGTAGCGCTTTCTTGAGAAATCGTTCCAAAACATATTTTTTTGGAAAAATTTTTTTATTTATAACAATTTTACTTACAAACTTTTATTGTCGCCCATAAAAATTTAAACAATATCACAATTAACTTACTATAAACACACAAACATGTCTATTTATTATATAATTACAATAATTTTACTGAAATCAATTTATTTTAATTCTATAATAAATAACGACTAAAAACATGATTACAACTATCAATATTAAATCAAACCATACAACTTATTAGTACTATACTCTTATTAACTTTTTAAGTATAGCCAAAATACAGACAAAAAAACTAAATAAAGTAGCCTACATAAGTGGTAGCAAGGAATATAAAGAAATCTTATAAATATAAAATTATAGATAAAAACATACTATACCTGAATTATATATGCTTAATGTATCCAAACTTCAGAAGATCTACCAAAAAAAAAACAGAAATCAATTTAGATCTAAAAGTTAAAGATAAAAAAAGTTACCGTCTCTGCCTCAAAAGTGCAAAAGAAGCAAAGTTAGAGATCTTTGCTAACCTGTTTTGTTAGGCATCTCAGGAATGACCCAAAAAAAAAAAAAAAGCAGAGTTGTAGCTCTCTTCCTTGCTTACTTCTCATGAACATGTTTTGAAGAAAAGATGACGATTGATTTTGATTGGATAGGAGAAGAGAAGTGTCAAAAAGACTAGAAGAGAGATAAAAAAAAAAAACAGAGAGAACCGGTTATGGGGAGAGTGAAAAAAAAAATGTGAAATATAAATAGAGGCATGGAATTTTTAAAAAAAAATAATGAGTAAGCACTACAAGTATAAATTTTTTATAAATATATATTAACACACTTTTGTAGTGTTTTCTCAAGAAACGCTGTAAGAAGTATTATACATTTTATAGTACTTTCTTAAAAAAGCACCACAATTATTTGATATTTAAAAAAAATAAAAAATATATATTGCACTACTTATTTAACATTTTATAGTAGTGAAATACTTTAAAATAATTTACTTAATTTCTTTAATCTCTCTAAATTGGTCAGGTCTTAATATAAAAGTCATTTGATTAATTTAAGTAGATTAATAAAACTAGTTAAGTTAGTTATTTATAACAAATAGGTATTGTCATTTTTCAAATATCTTTGCTAATTAAGTATATTAGCTAAAACTACTATTATTATATAAACTACTTTAAAAAAAATAGATAAATATGAGAGACAAAATGAATTAAAATCTTATATTTAGGATTAAAATAAAAGTCAAACAAACTTTCATATTGATCGGAGGTAATATATGAGAGCAGAGGGATTGGATTAGATATAATACTGAAACTATGTTTATGTCTATCTCTCCCTCTCTTGAGCTGCCGATAATATTTAGCCAAAGGTGATTGACATGTTAACAACCTTAATTAATTATATTACATCAGATTGATTTGTCTGCGATCCTTTTTTTTTTTAATTATATTTGTGTGTTTGAGTGAACCTCCAATATTATACTATATTTGTTGCTGAATAAGCTTAAAACGTGGTTATCAAGTTTCTTCTCTCATTCATTCAGAGTGACTGAACTTTAGAAAGTGATGCTCTTTTGACTTCTTTAAGCGTGGCATTAATTATTTATAAATTTCTGGTGGGAATCTATCTGCTTAGTTACTTTCTGCATCATCCTTAATACTCTGTGTGCTTGCTTATAATCTGGGGGTGACGAAACTGACTTAAAAATGGCAAATAATATAAGAGATCAACACACATACATCGGTCTCGTATATATAGTAAAAAGCATACGTAAGGTCTAAATTTATCTTGAAAGTTTTCACACAAGAGCGTTAAGTACTTGGAAGAATTTTTTGATATAAATTTATCTTAAAAATTTAAAATCATAGTAATATTG